GACAATTGGCGATGTGTTCGTAGGTCTGCGGTTACTAGCCACCACCGGATTGTAGCGAGGAGCCATGAAGTTAGTTTTGTACTCACCGGGATGATTCCTACTTTCCACTGGTCGCGCGATTATCTTAAGGGAGAACAGTGGCATATCATCACCACCATTTCGGACGAATATTGAGTTTAGACCATCTGTCTCCGTACCTGTCGACAGTCTCAGGCCCTCGGTGGCCTCTGTAATCTTTTTATAGTGAACTCCGCCTTAGTACATCAGCTCGTGGTAACTGGAGTAAAACTAGTGAGCCTGAAAGTATTGGGGTTGAAATTTGTAAAAATGATTCACCAAACAGTTCACTAATCTTGAAGGGATCGTTGCATTCCATTCCCTTGGTGGCCGCGAACTATCATTTGAAAGAGATGTCAACTTGTGGATTCTGGAACCACTTTTGAGGGCAACAACCTATTCGTTCACTGTGTGTTCCGCACTTAATTTCTTAGTAGGTTCGTAAACCTCATAAATCGGGTGCGGCGATGTGAAGTCTTATGACAAGTGATATTGCGATGATGACTTCCCAGATGCATTGAGGGATATTTTGGGGATGTGTGGGTCTCGCTCTTTATACACCCCAACCGTTTTCATAAGGCAGCAGTGTCTAGACATAGCTGTATATTTCTGTAGAAAAGTGAGAGTGTCTGTTAATGAGGCTGTGCTAAAGTGGCCATCAGATGGAGTGCATCTATGGAGCTCGATGAGTACTTCCCACTCCATATTCTTGTTGCTTCCTCTTACTGGGAGAAAGAATTGCTGACCAGCAGAACACCGTCCTATGTTCACTGTTAGGGAATTCACTACTAGCACAGGCGATGACAGGGATGATGTCGCAGCAAAAGACTAGATCCAGTATGCCATCTTCACGCGTGGGTTGCTGGACGTATTGCTTCCAGCTGTAGGTATCTATGACAGTAAGTATTTCACCAAAGCGCTGTGGGTTGCAACCGGCCTTCCAGTTGACTTCTGGGAGGCTCAAGTCACCCGCAACCAGTATGAAGTCAATAATGCGGGATCCAGCGTGAGCAAGTGACCTAGCCATGTTCGTCATTTTCTCTTGTTGAACACTGGACCCTATACAAACAACCGATGAGGATTATTTTAGTCAGTGCCGTTTACAACGACCCAAAGTGAGTCCGGCAGATCACTGGAAACGTCATCTTCGATCTTATTTGAGGTAGCAAAGCCACACATGTGGATCAAACAGTCTCTACCGTGCTTGTGATCACGGGTGGTGTGACAAAGAGGGTAATCATATATGCGCAGTTCTAGCTCTGGGATTGAGGTAGTACACCGTGGTCCACTGACCAGCAACACTGAGGGTTTGACCGATAAAATTGTGTTCTTGGGCAAATCGGTGTAACTGGTGAGTTTCTGTCCCTCACAAATATGTGACTGCCCAGTTTGTTAACTTACACTTCTGATGGAGTTAGTGTGACCAGAAACAAGTGATTGTCAGGGAAAGCTGCAGAGCACAATCACTATCGTTGGCTTGTTGGTGCGCGATTCTGTAGGTACCTCGAAGATGCCTTTCCGATCGGCTCAGTTCCCCTATATGAGCGTTAAGGTTACCCGCCACTGTGACTACATTTGAGCATTTTGCTCTCTGTAGCAAAGCTGACAGCTTCTCACAGAACTCGTCCTCTGCGCGACCAGAACTTCCTTCACTGGGAGTGAGAACGGAGGTAACGAATGGGCCTCGGTTGGTCTCATGACCCCTCCCGGCCCTAAAGATCCATTCATTTGAACAGCACATAAACAGCTGTTGGCCAATACCCAGTCGTGGAGCACACTTCCAACCCAACACCTCAATACTATGCTTACGCCAGAGGATCCGCAATAGCTAGCCACTGGGCTTCCGGATACTCTTAAGGTGAGCATTGAAGATTTACCGCAGTGGCCAGGTAATGAAAATTTAATAACCACCCTCAGACCCTGCTAAAGACGCCTGAGAGACGGTACGCACCCACTGCTATAGATTTCACAGTTCTAGAGGGTGATGCTTGTTGTCCGATTTGACACAGGTTTCGGACGTTAAAAGGTCCTACATGAAGTCGAAGGTGGGGTCTTTGGAGACTAGGAACGAGATGTTGATAGCTTTGATCTCTGGCAGTGGTTGCAGAACGAGTGGTTAGGTAAGGTATAAGAGGCCTAATATTAGTGTCAGGACGTACAAGCAAACGAGGAGACATGGTCGAGAAGTGCAGGTTATGTTTGATCAGGTCCTGTATACTGGTGGAAGCTGACCGTTGACACTTGCTGCCGCTCACACTGTGGCAAGGCTATTTCTCCTTAAGGCACCTAAAAGAGAAAAAGGTTCGTGTCACCTCAGACCTCATAAGACATCCGCTTGGGGCCTGTCGCACATGGCCTTTTGCTGGATGTTGTTTTGAGGTTAGGTTGTTCTAAAGCTTGTCAAAGAGGACCCTCACCGCCGGCAGTAGATGACAGTGGGGGAGGTGGTTTGTTACTATTGGAGTCTACCTTCGCATTGACTGGTGGCAGGAGAGCGACCAGTTTGACGTTATTCAGTCCCAAGGGCAGCTTGAATCCCTCCTATCATATTTGCGATGTGGCCACCACGCTAGGAGGCTCAGCATCGCGGTGCACCTTGGTGGATGTTAATTGGTTGGAGGCAGTCGACAGGATGGGCGTAGGTCTCTTCCTGGTTGGCGCGCGTCGGGGAGGCATATCTTCAACCTCGATGGAACTGACGTCCAGCCGGGGAGTCGACCCCGTGTCAAACAGCATTGCAGTCAGCGACTCCACCAGTGAGCTATTCGGGCCACGGCTGACCTCCCGCAGGTCTGGGTCTTGACCTGAGGGCCGACTTTCCATATGCCCCATCGCTTCGCGCTGAGAAGGCAGCGTCAGCGCGGCACTGTTGACCATCCAACGGAAACACCTTAACGCTGTCACATTCCATCCAGCTAGCAGCAGACCTCTATCATAGTGTAGTGATCTACACTACGATGGTAGCAGCTTTTCATTGTACTACTATCCAAAAGACCCTTCCAACAAGGCGGCAGCTTGAGGGAACAAGCATTTCACAAGCCAAGGTCGCTGGGTCATTATGATATGCGAGCCCGACCACCACGTCAAAGCAACAGGTGTTGGTAAGGCGTTGTTGAGTGGCCATCCCTGGAAGTTTTTGGGGGACATGCGTGAGAAGGCGATCTTTGGATATCTCCCCGTGGTGACGCCAAAGCTTAAGAGTTGGACGTAATGACTAGGACGAAGAATTGGGCATCACTCCAAGGCCAAGAGGAAAACAAGGCATTTATGGAAGCTTCCCAGAAAAGAATTCGGTTGTAGCGCGCATATGGTTTTTTCTGATGGCGCCAAGTTTGAACAACCCGCCTGCGCTGTAGTTCTAGGATTATTCACGGAACTTATTACAGTTTAACCGAAACTTTAAAATCCGTCTAGTTTGCCAGGGTCAAACCAACCGTGAGTAGACCTACTGAATTTGTATCCATCAAAAACCTGAAACGTTTCTTTATGACATAGAAGAAGACACAAATAAATAGAAAAATGACGCAAGTTCCCCAAACGGATATTGTACATTGTTAAAAGTGTTGAACCACTGAATACTTATTTTGTCACTACAGAGTCGATCAATAGCGAAATAGATCTCGTGGTGCCGTAACAATTTAGGATTTGTCCTGGTGCGAAGACCAATCACCGATTATTCGGACTTGTTATACACCCACGAATGCGAGACCAAGGAAGAATACGATAGCGTAGTCGGATGGAATAGTATATTTGGATGGTTGTGCCAAAATACCGATGCGTTCCAACTAACTGGCTAGAGAGTCGAATACGAGCAATGCAACGTAACACGACAGCGTGCCAAATGGCGAGGATGCTTGACCGGGTGCCTTCAGCTTAGTGAGTCCAGTTGAACTATCAAGGTCAGCATCAATGTCGAAAGTCGTCAAACCCTAGGCTATTGATTTTGGAGAAGTAGGTGACGCTACAGATCACTCCCCCCTAGTGGGTTCGTGAGGACCGTAAGATGATACCAGCCGGAAGTAAAACCCAGAGGTTTCTCCACTGGTAAAACTCTTCCGATGGGCTGACTGCGTGAAGTGGCCCCTGGTTGTCTGAACTTGTTCTAGATATAGTGGCAAGTGAAAAACAAAATACAATAAATCGAAATGTTCGTCGATCGCGGTCCTCAGTCTCCTTTTGACTTTCCGTCCAGTGCTCGTCGCACCTGGAATATAAATAAAAGTCTTTAATACCACGGAAATGTTTCGTAAAAATGGGAGTCACTTATGTATAAAAATATCTCGGAATAAAGCTTACACTTTTTAAAAAAATGTTTCATTACGTGATAGTAATAAAAAAATTGACACAGAAAAGGCAAAATACACGAGGAGTTTTGCATTGCCGGTAAATAGGAAAAATGGTGCCCGGAGAAAAGAAATTTGAATTAATTAAAAAATGGTTGGCACATCTTATTCCGCACCACTAAGTTGAATACGACTTCAAATATCCCAGGAACCTGACGGTTCGACCTGATCGTGCTTTCTGTTGCACTGATGGTTGTTGTAACTGTGCATTACCAGGCACATCGTCAAGAATTTCGATAACTGAGCTATCCATCGGTCGGCTGTAGCGAGCTGAAACGTTACTTATGATGGGGTTGCCTTCGAAATAAGCTGGTCTCATACAGTCGATGCTGACAGTATCTGCACGTCCGTTTCGCTCAGTTATATAGAATTTCTCTCGTCGCTTGATCACTTTGAATGGCTCATCTTATGGTGGTCCAAGTGGTTGACAAACGGCGTCGTGGAGAATAAACACTTGTGATGTCTTCTGTAAACTACAACAGAAGCATTATTCCGAGAATTTTCAGAAAGGGGCTACTGTGAGAGCAGTATTAGAAATAAATTGTTTTACTTCATCGACAATATTTTGAAATACCTTGGAAAGGACCCTCGCGATATAAGATGCCGGTGGTACAAGAAATGTAATTTCAATTTTGTTGTATTCATGTTGTCCTAGACAGTTTTCTGGTGATGATGAAGACAATATTAAAGAAATTTTTTCAAATTTTGTTCATGTATACCCCAGTGCAAAGAGTGTTTCGGATGGTAGAGATGTTTCAGCCAGCAGGAAGGTAGGACTTCGTTTTGGCTTCATCTATCGGTGTATTTGGAGTAGATTAGCATTCAACCTGCTGTAAAGTACTTTTGGGAGTATCAGTACTATGCTACAAGGCTTATCTCAAGGCATTGTGCGAGTTCACTCATTGCATACGCTATTAAACGTGAGTAGGATTTTTGTGTATAATATTGTCACATAGATGTTAAGAAGTCAAACTCTGAAGAAGACACACGCTCTGGTATGGTCCGGCTCTTAAATACAGAAAACAGGGAAAAAGTTACTCCTACGTTCTTTCGTGGGCCGTATCGTTAGTCTTGAATTTGCGAAACGCATGGAAGCCCTTTTAGCCGTGCTAGACTATTCCGGAGCGCTTAGCGTTTTTCGGGTTTGTGAATATTTTCAGTGTTACCGATCATTTCGGAAATTTTAGATTGACCAAGGGTCAAGTCCTGAGGATCTAATGACGTCATCACTGTTCTTCTCACTAAAACCACCTAGTGACTATGTTACTGTAGATGTTTCTTCCCTTGCGTGGTGTCCATGGGTATCTGGTTGTGCAAGTGCACTTGTTTGTCCATGTAACTCCAATAGTTGTGTATTACTGCCGTCGTCCGATCCAAGTCTTCTCATGGCATTTTCTGTTCATCACAAGGTAAGATTTTGTTATTCCGGATTTAATTGTATGACCTTTCACCGTAAGCTATTGTGTATCGATAATATTTCAACGTACTTTTTACAACGCATGATGTTTGTTTCTGCGTCGTTGGTACAATATAGAGTGTCTATTCGCAAATATTCTGCTTGAGATAACCTAATACAATTGGCATTGACGGTATGCCTAACAGTACTCGTTCTGAATGTTAGGTTCTAGAATAGCCAGTACTGTGATCAAGTTTCTTCACTACCAAATCTCTCCTATTACTCTTTGGGTTATTTTATCTGGCGCTAGGTAATCTATGTTTTACTTTCACTGGTATATATACCGCACTCGTTAAGTTTCATGTCAAATTATATTTGTTTATTAATATTATTCGCGTGACATACTGTCTTAAAATGTTACGTATAAGTGACTCGGACGACAGTTTCGTAGTCTCGCATATTCATTTTCGGAAACAAAAAGTATGCTCTGATGAAAGCCTTTTCGTAGCGTTTTTGGTATCAAACACTGGGAGGCAATATCTCAGTAGTGTAAACATAGCAGCACAAAAATACAAAAGTTCAAGCAAAGTAAACAAAAGTATGAGTAGAGATGGGACAAATAATATATAAGGAATAAGAGGTTCAAGATGTGAGTTAGCATAATGAATATACCCTTGTTACTGTGATTGATGTTCGGCTATATCACACAGAGTTTCTAGTCATTTGTTCTTAGCTTTTAATTCACATGTTTCTAGCAACGAATCAGCAACTTTTCTACACCTTGGCAGTCAAATTCCACACATCTGGTACGTTACGTTGTGGAGCTGTGGCTCGACCTTTACGCAGTGGGTCATATGTTTAAATCCCGTCCTATCTTCGGCTTAGGATCATAAGCTAACACCAAGTATAGCTTTTATTCGAGTACGTAGCAGTCTGTGCTCGATTGAATTACACATGGGTGACTGGTAAACTTTGTCTGATACTATTAGGCACAATAACTTGGGTAATAAATTGCAACAAGGCTATACGCGAATGTCTGTTGTTTGGTTACGCGTTGTCCCACTACTTTTATTAAAAATCATTCAATCCTTTGGGTATAATAAATCCATTACGTTGACCTCACTACCCAACAGCTCTCTCCCTTGTTCACTAATTGCGAAAGACACAGGGTTTCATAACCATCGGAATATGTGAAATGAAGGATATTAGCATAAGGAAGATTCACAGTGCTGGTAGAAATGGAATGATGGGTCACAAAAATTTGCAAAAACGATCACTGAACCCGTTGTTGCGCAACCATTTTTCTCATTAGTAAGTCAAATCAAAACCAATCCAATTTTGTAAAGGGATATAACTACAATAGCCAATGAATTGTTTGATAGCTTGCAGCCTGATTGACTAGAAATATGTACTGGGAGACACTGACCACAGTGGCAATATCGTTCTCCACTAATGCAGGTTAGTTTGATAACCACTTGTTCTAAGTTTTAGTTTCGATAAACAGGTTACCAAACAAACCACTGAGAGAGCACCCATTTCGAAACTAGTGGGGGCAATATAGCACAGCTTAACCAATAAGTAGCCTCTCTTGCCACCACATAGGCTGGACCGCCAATATTCCTCGAATTTGGTTATCTAAGTTGCAGAACATACTGCAACTTTATTGTTCGAAAATAACATTGGTACAACGTATTTACAAAGGGATACGACGGTGTAATACAGCAAAATATGTAAAACAACATTGATACATATGCACGAAAGTAAGTTACGCCGGACGAAAAAAACAGGAGTTGGTTATTAAAGAAACCGCCATAAAAACCAGTAAATGAGGCTTCTTCTATTTCGTATCACCTAGTAATCAAAGAATCATCAACAATTGCTTGAAGTCAGATCTGTTTGAGTACCTGCTAGAGTGAAATTGCTGATAAGGTGAACAGAGGTACAAGATAGTGAATGGGAATTAGAGGTAATCCTGATGTACTGATGTACTTCGCTGATCATCCCAGTCTGTAAGAAGGAAGAGAAATCTTCCTGTAACAACGATGGAGGAATCAGTTTAATGAATATTGTGTTCAATATCACAGAATCCATTGTTATCCTACCCCTTACGAGAGCTTAAGAACGGCAAACTCGAGAAAATGAGGCAGTTTTTAGACCTAGACTAGGGTGCATCGATCATATTCTTATGCTAGGGCAGGTTCTGGAACACAGGCATACCTGCCGGTGTCCGACATTTCCCATATTCTTGTGAAACTGTGACTCATTGGTTTAGGGAGATGATATCAGAGGCAATATCACCTTTGAAACTCAGTCTAAGATGTATAGGCCTCTTAGCAACATCATTATCTTCTCTCTAGGTTTCTGCAGTGTTATCTTCAGCTTATTCATTTCTTCAATACAGTCATCAGAACATATGTTTTTTATCTTGTGACTTTTGACTAGGTTTCTTTTATACTGAATCAGTATGAAGCTATGAAAGTGAATATATTGACCAGTTCGTGTATTCTTTCTCAAAATATTCCTCTTAATATATTTATTCATTTTCCTGGTGAGGAGGACATCTAGGATAGGAATATTATTCTCCTATTCTCCCTCTCAGGTGAACTTCATAGCTGAGTGAACATTATTGAAGGTATTTAAAAATTTTTTGTTGTGGCCATTATTACAAATGATGAACGTATCATCTATGTGCCGGCAATAAGTCTGGTTTATCAAGTGTGTCCATAAGTTCGCCGTTTTCAAGTTCGGCCAGAAAGATATCCGCTAGCATAGGACCCAGAGGAGAGCCCATTGCAACCCCACCTACTTGCCTATATAATTCGGCGTTAAACATAAAGTGGAACATTCATGGTACATTTTAGCAGCAATTCTTTAACTTTTTCAGATGGGATTCCACGTTTATCTTTCGTTCCCTTAATTCATCGCAAATGTGGTTGACTGTTTCTATAAGTGGAGCATCAGTAAATAATGATGTTATATCCAATGAAATCATCCTCTTGTCCCTAACAATCAGATATCTGATATGTTCTACGAAGCTGAACACATCTTTTATATCGAACCTCACCAATCCGCGGTGTAAAGGCTCTAGCGCTCGTACGAACCATTTTGCTGTTGAATGATACGGAGAGTTCACTATATCTAGAATTAGACGTAGTGGAATTTCAGGGTTGTGAACCTTTGGTAAGCCATACAGTCTAGGTATATGTGTGCTTGAGGGTTTTAATGTATCGAATGTGGACTTAGAGATCAACTTCTGTCCTATCATTGTCCTCAGAGTCTGTTGTAGTAGTATCTTTGCAGTTTCTGAACTTCTGAAACTTTATTTGGTCACTGAGAAGGAGGTTCATCTTATCAATATAGTAACATTTATTCATGTTAGCGGTACCAGATCGCTTATCAGGTTTGGTTATTATCAAATTATCATCTTTTCTAAGCTTTTGGAAAACCTCTTGGTGATTCTTAGTGAGTAGGCTTTTTAAAGGATGCTTTTTATTCCTAAATTGATAGCAGCATTAGATTAGAGTAGCTTTAAACCTCTCTCTTATATCTGGTGGTGTTAGCCAGGCATGTCCACTGAGACCGTTCCTGTTTAATTTCGTCACAGAGGTACTAATAGACATTCTTATGTCTGACTTCACTCCTTGGAGGTCATCTGGTTAACTTGGAGTATGTAGACGATATTGTCCTGTCACGTAAAGATGTTGACTAAATACAGGGTCATCTAAACGCATTGCGAAGAAATCTGAGTATGTTTAGCATGTGTTTTGCACTCGTCAAATGTAAGATACCACCTGTGGCGCCGACTGGCGACATATCTGACTACCTATCAAAGGACGAATATACTGTGCTGCAGTCCGTTCTGCTCTGTTGTACAGCTGTAAAACATGGCAGTAAAAGTAGAAAATATGAAGCGGTTGCAGGGTTTTGATCATAGGTGTCCTCGTAGAATTGCTCATATGGTGATTCAATCACCGTGTGAGCAATGTTGAGGTCAGGCGAAGGATACTCGGCAGGAAAGGCAAGTAGACTGGTGGTGGCTTGTACATATACTCTCCATGCCTAACCACCATCTACATGGACGTGCAATGCTAGGAGAAAGCGTATTAAATTAGAAGAGGGTTCTTGGTGGACAGACCAAAACGTGGTACCAATTGATGAATTCTCTTACTGTCGGTCTGAATCTCGTGGGGCGGTGTAGACTGCTTGGTTGAGGCCCCTAAGACGGAAAAAAATCAGTGGTTGAGCATTTTTGGCGACATGGCTGAAAAACAGTCACAATGGTGCAGACGTATTCACTCTTTGACGTCTTCTAAAGCTCGAATATCCACACTGACCTTTATCTTCAGATAGTTTATCCTCTCACACTTTTATCTTTTTTGAAATCACTTTTCTATCCACCTGTTCTTTGTGTACTTTTGTGAAGTGTGGCAACTTGAGCCGATTCACTTGTGTGCGAGGTTCTACGTTGATTTTGTTGGTCAGTTAGCCAGTCAGTCAGTCCAGCTAGAGCAGGGTGCGGGAAGTTCGCACTGAATAGTGACTTTCTGGAAAGTGCTGTCTGATAAATCAAGTCGATGCAGACATACCGAAATTGTAGTCAGTGACCAACAGATGGATGAAAGTTAGGCAGACATTGAGAGAAATCGAAAAGGACAAAATGACAGTATAGTCCAAGTGATGTAAAAACAATATATTGAGTGAATGAATATGACGTTCGTTACACAGTGAATCTCGTTCTGTTGTAGGAAGATGCAGTGAGCGCTTTGTAGACTCCATCATTAATGTCGATTCACAAATCGCATGCGGGCAGTAATATTTCCTAAACGTTCAGATGGAAGGAGTTGTCTTGTGGTTCCATACTGTTATTTTTCAGCTTGAGTTACGATTTGCATAACAGAGGAGCTACCTTTGCGTTCTCATTCCCATGGTTTTATCGGTTACCGTAGTATGTTCTAACGCCGTTCTCCCATTCCTGTTCTTGTAGCCTATCTGCCCCATTGTTGTAAATCCAGAACTGACTAACTCCTCTGAAAGGTTCTTCCGTATTCACTACTCTGGTGGTAAGCATGGAGCATCCTTTTTCGCACTTTCATTTCTGTAGGAACATGATATGAAACTAGTGGATAAGTCTTTCTTGACAGGAACTATAAAAACAGGAATGTATGCGAGCATTTCTAAAGGATGGCTGGACTCATTTCACTCTAAGTTGTATTAAAGCATTCGGATTGTTACGTAACATTTTATAACTGTTTTGTTTAACCTTTTTGAAAAAATATTACCTTCTGTTCACTAAATTAAAAACAGATGATTGATGCAAGATCTTCGAAGGAATGGGCAAAACAGGTAATGATTAGGACCAGGATAAATTTTCCAAAGTCAATCGGTAAAATGAATCTCTTAACCCGAATCCTATTAAAGTTGGAAATATAAAAGAACATTGGTGGAGTTGTGTTTAATTACTCTAGATTTTCAATTACCAACGTTTACATCATACATCCAAAACTCCGTTCGGGCTACTTTAGGCTGGGCAGCCAGATACTACCACAAGCCCTTGCAACTTAGTACTAGCTTAAATTTTTTGATGCAGATGTGTGCTACTTCATACAATTGCGCCAATTTATTGTAACAGTGTGGGAAAAGTGAGGGGAAAACTGGATTGCCGGAGTAATCTTCATAATTTATCTTTGTCCTCATGTTTGTAAAGCAGATAGGAAAATGAACATCAAGCTAATTTCTCCGTATTATAATCATTTTCAAGAAAACTTGACTCATTTAGTGGAGTGTTGGAAAATATGCATAGAAATCGACAATATCGTACTGATTTAAGGCGCCGTATTTAAACAATGCGTAAACAGGGTAATAAATAAGCAAACTGGCAGTACAAGTATAAAAGTATCTGCAGGAGACTAACGGATATTGAAGATAAATTACGTATGTGGGTGTTTATAATAATGCCTCACTACATGAACGAAAAGGAATGAATGCGTCTTCTACCTTGAACAGTGTGATGTACCACTGTTATATATTTCTCATGTTCTTCTGAAGTCAGTCAGATTGCCTACAGTTTTTGTATGGTTTAAACTAGTAGTTAATCGCCGCATATTTACAACTTGTACTAATCTGATGGTAAATTATTTTGGGCCATATTGTGTTTAACGTTTTCATCAACCGCGTCAATCAATACAAGTTTGAAATTGCATCAACTTATTTATCTACCTTACCTTGGTGATCTTGAACTCAATACGTGTAAGCGATACTTCAAAGGCATTAAAGGTCAAGTAATTAAAGCATCATACTTATACTCAACAACCACTTCATATTGTGCTTTAGAATGAAGGAAATAGAATAATATATCTTTTAGGCATCGTGAATATCGTTTGAAAAATAACGAAAAGGTCCTGTTACATTTATCTTCTTGCTCAGCGAAGTATTTGGCTCAACTACACATTTCTGTTCTTAAACTTTAACTGTTTACCATCTAGTCCATTTTTAAAATGGTAGAAATTGAGACTGTTTTGTTAAGTTAAATAAGAAATATCTGAGTTTATTATTTATGTCCAAGTATCTCAATCTAAAAATTCCCAACCGCCAAGTTTTCATAATTTATTCTTTACTTTTTTCAAGGTGAAAGTAGTAGATCTGGGATTAGCTACCAAGATTCTTCAAATTCACTATTCAAAAGATGCCCAGCTAACAGAACCGGTCGCTTGGAGTGAAGAACAAGTTATTGACGCCATAAATGCGAATGTGATAAACTCATTGTGCTATGCTGAAATGTCGGATCATTCTGATGCTGTCAGTGTTATTGCATTAAGTCGTGACGCTAGTTGTTTGGCTTCTGCCAGCCTAGATGGTAAAATTTGCATATACTCCTTGGTTAGTCGCAATTTGTCTGGCGTCAGAAACACTCTAAGGTTAGTTTTTTTTTATTAAGCTTTAGAATAACTGCAATATAAGAAACTATTTCATGTTATGTTATTAGGTGATCATGTATGCATAGGTTGAGTCAAACGAATCATCTCAACCAGTATGTATAAGCAGTCCGATATAATCCACGCCTTATATCCTTCTGGTTATTTCTCAAGTTTAATTTTTGCATTGTTCCAGAAAATGGCACTTTAAGGTGATATGTGTTCAACTTTCTTTCTCCGCCACCACTCTTATTTATGTAGCAGCAGATTTTCAGTCACGTTGGTTAAATTGTAATTTTACTACTTCATCCTTTGTCGCGATATTTTCTCGTTTATAATTGACACTAAACACCAGAAGACTGAATCTCTGAATATTGATTTCGACAGGAAGATGACCGAAAGGTGTACGATAACACTTAACGATAGCAGCATACAAGACATTGCTCAGCTATCTTAGTTAACCCGTTATAAATACAGATATATTGAATCTATTCGTAAGTGATACTGAACATGTGGTGAAGTTGACACAATCGAAACATTTAGCAGGGATATAACTGATATAATCTATGAATGGAACTCTCAGTACTGTGGCTTTTTTTTCCGCAGATAATATATTTTGATTATAAGTTCACCAGACTGTCTGATCATCTTTTGGAAATATTATGAATAGTTTTTGAGTGAGCTCTAGTAGAAGTAGTCAAAATAACCTATTGATTTCTACTAATTGACCCATACGTTGAACGTTATACTGCTGAATTGTAGGTAGAATTTTCCTTTGTTTTGTTAAAAGTAGGTGAAACATCTTTTTAAAGCTTTGTCTCATTGGCTTTTTCGTTTACCAGTCGAGTAGATAAGGATTTAGTCTTTGCTGTTTCTGTTGGAATTTCAATGGCTAGATAGTGTCATTCACTCTGACAATAAGTTCATGTCTTAGTGCGAAATCATGTGTCGTGTTCGCTGAGTTACTTTACATCAATGTATCTTGAACATGGTACAGTAGAATAGCAACTTCTGTGGAGTCTCATACTAGGACGAAACAGCTGTTCAATGCTCTCAGGTTTTCAATGGTCCTCTAACTGATGTCAGTCCGTGATGAATACTAACTTTTTAAAAAAACTAATAAATCATGTAATCATTTGTTTTACTCAAAATCTGCCGTAACTAAGTGGTAATTAGTTATGCATAAATGGCCAATCTTGTTTTTGTAATTTTGATTCCCTAATCCTTATTCGTCAGAAGACAAGTTTAATGCATTCCCTTTCAGTATGTTAACTTTTTCACCAGTAAACTTCACTTGTCTATCTGTCCGTCGTTGCAAGTAACTAATTGATACTTTGGTAATCTAGGCCAATCCATGTGCTTCGTCCTCACGATGGGCTTCCGCTGTATGCCTTGATATTTCTTGACAGTGTTTTACGCGGCGATGATGGAAGGTAAGTTTCTAAACAGTGAAGTATAAATTCGTTTCTTTTAAAGCTGAATTGAATACGCACTTAACTTACTGCTATTGTGTTGTTATTCTGCAGGTTTCATTGTACATGTTTCGGCCTCAATCTAAGTATACTTTTTAGCGTACTTCTCTCAAAATGTTAAACCGATGTTGTTCTTCATGAGTATTTGTAAATTATTAAAAATTCCTATTACAGTTCAAAGTTCATTTGAGTGAACAAGGAATATTCTTTTCGAAAACTTCTTCAGGTTCTACAGTCATATGTACATATTGGTTCGGTATCGCAAGCAGTTAGCTGCGAGTTCAAATTTCTCCTCACCTGTTTACTGTTGACAATCAAACAATATCAGAGCTCGTATAAAATAGATGGGAATCATCAAACTACACCTGGGTTTTGCATTCTATTAAGATCTATTTCTTCATTGGGTTAGGTGACAAGTGAAAAATATGGTTCATTGTTTTCTTCGTGATTAAGCAGTTGGTAGTGGTGATTCGAATTTAGTTAACCTTTGGTCCTTTAGTCCTTTCATGTAAATTCCTCGCCACACAAAATATGACGTCTAAAATAACACTCAAAGATTATGATCGATGGACCCTCGTCTAGGTCTGAAAACTACCTGATTTTCTCGAGCTCCAGTAGGGTGTTGGATGTTCATGGACCCTAGGATCTTGGACAGAATATTAGTCAAACTAATTCTCCTATGGTTGTTACAGGAAAATTTCTCTTCCTTCTTATAGACTGGGATGATCAGTGAAGTACATCAGTTTGACAGGATTACCTCTAATTCCCATTCACTACCTTGTACCTCCGTTAACCTAATCAACTATTTCATACCCCTATCTTTGTAAACGTCAGATGGCAAACTCTCAGATCCAGCTGGTTTACATCGTTTCAGGTTCCGTAAAGCTTTCTCAACTTCCAAAACTGTAGACGACCAACATCAACATCTCATTCAGGTTCAGGCAGGATGGATGTTAAGCAACTGAAGCGCTGCTCAGGACCAGTTAAACAAAGCTTCAAATTGCTTCGCCCAACGTTCTAACCACCTATCCTGAGTCGTTATGAGCATCCCATCCTTTTCGATGATGGTTTTACCAACCATCGTCTTCTCGTCGGTATCCTTAATAAGCCAAAGTGTATGCCAAGTGTTACCCAACGCTGATGCCTTCTTCATCTGTCTCCCTTTGGCTGCCCACCACTGCTCGCGGTTGACGCAAATACTCTTGGTCAACTTATGTTTGACTTGCTTTCGCTCTTCATCGTAGCCAGAACCAGCCAGTTGGAATCAGTCTCCTCGCATTAATCAGTTCGGATGACGTCGTGGAAATTCAATCACGTTTGCTAACCTTCGGGTGTAGGTTACCAACTATAGTTACCGCTGTTTCTATAGCAGACTTAATATCATGGCAGGTTTTCACCAATTGGGCATTTCTGTCATGTTCAGATGAATGCTTAGCTTACTCCTCTCAAAATACGTACCTGGCATCCTCATCTACCAATCGAACACAGATGAGTTTTACTGCTGTCTGTTACTTGTGGCCAGTAAGGTGCAGACAAACACAAGCTCGTACTAGCTCCTGATCAGAGTTCAAACAGGTACTCTAGAAGGAGCGGCAACCTTCCACCGATCCTCTCCCATAGTGGTTGGCTATGAGAGCAATGTGGTCTATCTGTGTCCATCGTTGGTTTGAAGTTGGTGGACGCTATATGAGACAGAGTTTATCCTTATACTTGATAAAGTAAGTGGTGGTGGCCAGAAACAGGTGGTTGTTGGAAGAAAATTGCAACAGACGACCATCATTTTCGGTTCCTTGCTATGGGATCCGTAGATATCTCTCAGATGCCTTTCCGATTGGTTTAGCTCCCCTACTGCACCTGCAATTATGACTGCATCTGAAGGTTTTGATTTCTGTAGCAAAGTTGACAGCTTCTGATATAATTCATCCGTTGCATCATCCCAACTTCAATCTGTGGGTGCGTGGGGCTACACTAGTGAATCCACGAGAGCAAGCCATTGGATCGCCTGATATTCGTAAGGTGAATTTCGAAGATTCACTGTAATGGCCACGTAAGGTCACTTTCATAACCACACTCGGGACCTGTATACGTGTTTCATAGACAGCATACATCTGTGGCTATAGATTCCAGAGTTCTGGCGAGTGATCGTTTCTTTCTGTTTTAGCACAGATTTCGGACGTTGATAGCTCCTACATGAAATTGAAGGCGGTGTCTTAGGAGACTGTGAACGGGGTTTCGATGGCTTTTATAGTTGGCAGTGGATGCAGAATGAGAGACTGGGTAAGGCGTAAAAGGCTTAAAATTAGCATCAGGAGGTTAAAAAAAAGAGGAGACAGAGTTATGAGGGATAGGTTATGTTTGATTGTCTTGTGTACTACTAGAAGCTTGCGAGCGGTTGACACTTCCAGCTGGCCCCATTATGAAAGACTATTTTTTATTAAGGTATCCTAACCCTTACCACAGAGCCCATGGGACATCTGCTTGAGGCCTGTTACATGCACCCTTTTGTTAGATATTGTTTTGACGTTTGGTTGTTCCAACGCCTGCACCGGAAGACAGTGTGGTAGAGGGAGTGTGTTATTTTTGGGGCCGACGTTTCGCAAACCACTTACCCATATTTCCAAAGAGAAGGTAGCATCAGCGTGGCACTGTTGGTCATCCAATGGAAACACCTTAATGCTGTCACATTCCATCCAGCTAGCAGCAGACCTCTATCATAGTGTAGTGATTTACACTACGATGGTAGCAGCTTTTCATCGTACTACTATCCAACAGACCCTTCCAACAAGGTAGTACCTTGAGAGAACAAGCCTTTCACCATCCTAGGTCGTTGGGTCATTGTGATATGCGAGCCCGACCACCACGTTTAGGTAGCATCTATATGTCGGGATTCACTACTGTGGTTTCTTCTCCCTAGGCTCTGGTTACGCTTCAGTTAGTAGACTGACCTTTCCTTGCATTTTGATGATCATAGTCATCCTTAACAGGTCGACTTGAGCGAATTAGTTGCATATAGTTTCTCAGCTATGTGCAGAATCGAACAAGCTTCAAGACTAGCTGTTGAACCTGCAGGAAGTATAGATTTGATTTCAAACCCGCTGTGACTTACACAAAAACAACCTATGTCTAATGTCAGTCTTTTACTTAGCGCCCAATATTTGCTATACTATACGATTAAATCTTGATCATAGTTTATACGAAGTATAGATAACCATCGGCTGCAATTATTAAAGGCTATAAGAAGGATGAGTAAAGCTGCAACGGACTTGAACTAATGGATGCACATGAACGCCTTCCTGTAGACTCCTACTGCAATGAGGAGCGGAAGCATTCATGGGTAGCGGACGATAAGATGATGGAAAGGCCAGTGGTGATCGGTAAGGGGTAGACGCCTGTTAGTACTTTCCGAGAGGACTGGAGCGAAAACGTCGGTGGTTAGTGGTATTCTAGAAGAGAAAGATGGGTCTGCTATTCACTTGCAGTGGGGACGACTGTAACGATGGGCGGAACACTTCGAGGAAAAGTTCAACTGGCATCCAGCTACTTTTCTGTTGCCCGCTATAGAGTCCAACCGTCAGTGAAACAATGAGATAAGATCTCCAACACTTGCAGAAGTCGAGAAAACTAAGCAATCTTGAGGAACGAGCAGCAGGGTCAAAGGTATTTAAGGACGGTAGTAGAGGATTGTTGGTCAGATCAGATGAAGTATTAACTAGTGCATGGAAGTCTAACACAACCCTCCTCTGACTGGTCTCAATCACTGATCGTCCCAGCCTTCAAGAGAGGCGAGAAGTCCTCCTGTGATGACCTCAGAGGGATCACCCTGGGTAACATAGTGTCTAAGGTTCCAGGTTCTATAATCATTAGACGTCTAAATGGAACTCAGGAAGAACAAACCCGAGGAAACCAGGTAGGCACTTTTCAGACCTGGTCTTGGGTTTACTTGATCAAGTATTCGACCTCCACCAGGCTCTGGAACACGGGTACACTTACCGACACTAGCTATATTTTTCAACCTGAGGGTGCCATTCGACTATATTGACCGAGAGGTCTTATGGCAATCTGTCACTGAAAAGCGTACCAACTAAGCACATCATTCTGTTGAAAGCTCTGTACACTCTTGGTCGCGGTAAAGGCTTATCTGAGTTGTGTACATCGAATGGTGTCCGTCAAAGGTGTTCACTCTCTCCATTCTTGTTCCGCGTTACCATAAATACTCTTATGGACGTCTCTCTTGTCGTCTGATTTTACATGGAATAATTTCATCTTAGAAGGACCCATAGTAGATCTGGAGTACGCAGATGACATACTTCTGATAGGTGAAGATACTGACCAGATGAAAAGTCTTCTGGACACTTTGAGTGTCAATTTGTGAATGTTTGGGATGGATTTCTAACCTCCCAAACTCAAATTGTTGCTCCAGGACTTGTCTTCTGCTGCCTTGCTTAACAATAAGGAGTGAAATTGTTGGATGAGTTAATCACTTCACTCGCCTGAGAAATCAAATGAGCCCTGGTGGGTGAGTCGGTGACCGACGAAATGTCTGCAGGGATGTAAAAGGCTCATTTAGCTCTTATCAACGTACGCTACCGTACCGAAGGCCGTGTGTACTGTGCTGTAGTTCGCTCTGTCCCACTATATTTCTGTTAAACATTGCTATTCAAGGTAGAGGAGATGAAAAGACTTCAGGTGTTTGGTCACTGTTACCTTCGTAGCACAGGTTGTGTCTCATGGTGCCATGAGGTCAGTAACACGGAAGTCAGGTGTAACGTTTTAGATATGAGAATACAGTTGGTCGACTCACATGGTTGGAATATGAGTCACTCATTTTTAGTCGCTGTCTGTCATTTCAGAAGAGAGTAGTTGAAGTAGGTTTAGGCTAGAAGAAGAAGAAGTAAGGTGGTCAGAGTAAACATGGTGTTTTTACATGAAAGCATTGACCATTGGTCTGAGTCGTGTAAAGAAATGTAGACTTCTACATTGGAGTCAGGGTGACAGCAGAAACCAGTGGTTGAATAGTGATGTGATGAATCAGAATCGCCCTCAGTTGCTCTATATGTTATCTTCACTCTAATCGCTTTGCTGATTTCCATTTTATTTTTTCCTTCAAGTTGTCTTTCAAAACTGCATATCACCTCCGATTACTGTTTGGCTGGTGTCTGTCTCTTTCATCTTGGTACTTTTTACCGTGATGTATTAATATGTTTTGCTATAACTTGTACCGTTACGCGGTAATAATAAGCTGCATGTTGATGTTATTTGAGTGACACATTATAATTTATCTGGAAGTTGGTTTCCAAAGATTGAGGTTTTCTGAATAATGTGAAATGTTTAACAACTGTGGTTCATTATTGCAGACAGTCAACTTTCATGCTTTTGATCATGAGTTGGAATCCTTCGGTGAAGAGAAGTTTGGGAAGGCACATAGTATTATCAACTGTAGGTGGAGTCTAGTGCAAGAAAGAATTGGACTAATTAAATTGACTAGTAGTTGTATCTAGACAGTGTATAGAATTAATGAACCCATTGAGTTGGAAACTCGTACCGTTCAGCGCCTCACTTGATTTTATTGCTGGTAATATACTTTATATGCTGTCTGCAATCTCTTTCGTAGGATCAGTTGGGGTTGTACTCAAATTAGCTAAAAAAAACCATATAAAAGTAAAAACTACAGTGTTTTCTCCATTGTTTTTTTCCCTTTGATACTCCTAGTCCAACATGGAGCCATTTTGTAACAGGTGCACAGTCTAATCGAGAAATTCGTCTTTGGTCATGCTATGACTGGTCTTGCTTACAAGTTGTACGATTTTGTTCTGGTGTACTGAACACGGATTCAGTGAAGCAAACAAATATGCCAATTTCCAAATCTGGCATAACACTAGCTGTGGATCAAACAGCTTCTTTTCTGATTGCTACAGATGTAACGAGAAGAGTAAGAATTCAATTCAGTAATTGTCAAATGTTAATTTATTGTTATTTATTATCGTGTATGTGCGCACACCTGTGGGTATTGTTTATTGATTCTTTTGAGTTCTCATAGAAACCATAGTGCATCTCAGTCCAGTTTCATAGGCTACACACCTGTGGAAGATGTACAATGGTGGTCTTTACTTACATTGAACTATCACGTTTTTTTACTTGTCTGCTTCTAGTCTTCCTTATATTTTCATCCAATTATCTGTCACCTAGTTTACTATTGTTGATCGTGACAGACGATTAGTTGATAGATAGACAAACAAGAACATATGGAATTGACTGAATATTCGACATCATGTCGCCAGTGGACACAATCATTATTATATCCAACAATTTATTTTTAGTGATAACTATATACTTCGATAGTCCTATCAGATTTCAACGAAGAACTTAGTTGTCTTTTGATTTGAGGATGGAAAACATGTTTCTTCATGTATCCATACTTTTTTTCTGCACGTAAACGCATCATTTGCAGTAGCGGCAGTATTTTTTTTAGTAAAGTAAACTAGGTAAATTCCTAATATAATCCTTTTTTTAGAATAAACGTACTTAATGTATTTGTCTTCTGTTGTCCAATGAGGATAGACAGTAGATTACTTGGCAATTCCAACGTGTTAAATACTTATTGGGAATCACGATATCACTGTACTTCTCCCGTAGCTTATGTATATATCCAATATTTTAGTGTATAGGAGTTTTTCTGCATACTGTTTACAGGAGTCAAGGTGTGATTAACAACACCGGTATCCTGCATCTATGAATAATTTTCAGTGGAGCGACAAATCACTGTAATTTAGTGTTGGTTGTTGTTATATAAGCGTCTTACCGCGTCTTCCGAACGTGAGTCAACAGATCGAAATAATCATTCACACCTAACTGGTGGAGGTTCAATCGGTGAGTAAAGTTTAACAAGATAGGATAGGCTGGTGTGACGAATGCCTGAAAACATTTGAAAACAGTAAACAATCAGTTTCGAAGGCTGACATACATTATACAGAATCGAAGAAAATTTTTACTAAGTTATATTTTCATCTTTAAGTGGGAAAATTTTGTGGAGATCGAATGCGGTTTCATTGGAGCGTATGTTTCAGACTGAATTGTTGGAGAATGGTGCAATTGACAGTGATCTTTCATAATTATTGGTACTGATGAACATCCCATTCTAGTTGGTTTATTAGATGTACCACACAGTGGAACAATTTTATTTATTGGACCACGTTTCGGACACAATTCATTGTCCATAGTTGTCATGTCAAGATAACTCCACAACTTTGAGACATGGTTTGTGTAGTTCTAATTTTCTTTATGACAGGCAGGTAGTAGGATTTTCCATATCCGAAACAGGTGCTAGGCCATTCCTGTTGCATGTGTTAGGTGTTGATTCGATGATTAAATATTCAGTTATCAATCTCTCCCTCCACTGTGCTAGATTAGTTTCAAGGATTTTCGCTCTATCCCATCCTATTGTATAATGGTGTGTAACTGCGTGCATAACTATGGTCTAACTTTTGTCTAGATCTCTTATCTTACTAGGATCTACCAATTTCGGTCTAGCTGGATTTTTGTGCTCGTATAGCCTAACTGTTTATCGAATCAACTGGAATGACTCAGCACCTGTTTGGTGTGGATGGAAAATCCCGTTGTCTGCCTATATCACATAGGAGGCGAAAGAATTAGAACTATACAAACGATATCTCAAAGTTGTGAAGGCATCTGATATGACGGCTATGGACAATAAATCGTGTCCGAAACGTAATCCAGTAGGTGATACTGTTCTACTGTGTGATAAATCCAATAAATCAACTAGAACGCAATTAAATTCTACCACAGTGCCCAAGTTTTATTCTTATATTACGCATGAATATTCTTCCTCAAAGATGAAAATCTGTCTTACCTTTGAGATGAATATCACTCGTCAGCTTATTTGACTAGTGTTGTATACTAGCTTTCAGTGTGCTAACCGTGATCTGAAAATCTACAAGCTGATAAGTCAATTAGTTTGGGTGTATTAGTGACATTGGAGGGTGCTGGCACTATATCGCGAATAGATGGCAGTCAAAAAGTGTGAATCACTGTTATACTCCAACTCAAATACTGAATAAAAACTTCCTCACTGTAAGGCCTGAAGGTCATGGGCTCAATCACTCTTTTGATTGTAGATGCACATTGTTGAATTGTTCCAAATCAGAAAGGAAGAATTCCCTTACGTTTCCATGTTTACAGTGATTCCCTAACCGTCGTTTCTAGCTGATAGATACTACCGTACAATAAGTCCATTCCATACAAACCAACCAATCGAAAATTTATCATGTCTGTGATAAGTTGATGAAACTGTGACCTTGATACAGTGTTTGTGATGCAGGCAAAAATTTAGCATATAACGTGAAGACATTTCAATTCCCACTCTAACGGCTAGTATTTAGTATTGTCTGCAGGGAATTTCACCAACAAGTATTAGGGCTTGTTCATCTAAAATGGATAAATCTTATTTCCATAAAGTTCCTGCATAGTTTTTAATGATGTTATCAGACTTGATCTTAAGTCAAAATGGAAGTATCCTTATTAAACCATATAGGTGGTTGATTTTTTGCAAAAGAAGGTATATATATGATTTTTCATCGATACCATATCGAACGGTAGTTATGACTACTGTCAAGAGGTTAGATTTATGCTCCTTCGTTCAGCCTAGTGGGTTGTTTTCCATTGTATTATAATTAATTCATTAACCTCATACAAGCTAACACAATAGTCTGTGAGCCACACATATTGTGTAATGGTTAACAATATAAACTGGTTGCAAACACCTTGATAAGTTGAGAAAAATTTGGAATCAGATATAACCACCAGCATAGAACTTAGCATTAGTTCAAGTTGCCACATTTCATAACAGAACGTAAAGAACAAATGGACACAAAGTAAGTGATTATTTATTGATGGTTGTGATTTCCTGTTGCTATGCTGGATCAAATTACTCGACCTCTGTTGGCAGATGGGCCCATATGCGGATAACTCTATACTCCTTGAATATTCACCAAGTACACTAAAACATGATGAGTGTCTAACCAATAATTTCTATTATCTCGAGGACCCTAATCAGATGGTCTACACCTCCCTACATGGCCCAGAATGACACCCAAAGAATTCATGAACTAATGTCACATTTGACCACCCTTAGCCTTCTACTAACTCACTCATACTTCGGCTAACATTGCACGTTTAAGTAGGCAAGGTATCACAACTTCATCGATTGATTTCACCATAAGTGAGCGATGCTATGAAGACATCTGTGACCTAAAGCACTTAAAGTCTTCACATCTTTCAACGGCCACTTTTCGTAGTTGTATAGCACAATGGAGGGAACTGTAACCCAGTATACTCATCCTTTTATAGGTAGTTGGATATACCTTACCGATTCCAGAACTGACGTAATTTGTCAAATGCCGAACAGGCCTTCTGTATCCAAGCTGAGATTCCGTCAGGAACTAACCGATTTAGGATGATGCCATATCATAGTTGCATAAAGTAGTTGACACACTCTACTACTTCAATTTCTTTTGCCATTTCGAGTCTTCAAGAAGCTAGAAATCAGTGGCTGATAACCGTAAGTACATAATTTATGTCGTTGACAGGGGCATAGGTGTATTCACTCGTTGTCATCTTCAAAAACTTCTAAAGACTTTGCTGGCCCTGCGGAATTCAGTTTTTCTAATTTTTATTGTCTTATTAATAGAGGTAGATTGGAGAGATTATTCAGCAAAATTCAGCTTTGTAATCATCTTCGATACATAAAAAGCTGAACCTCTGCGATTTTAAAGAACCTTCTACTGTGATTATTACTAGGTAACAACGGTCAAGAATGATTGTTCATGTTAATTACAGTGTTAACAACGGCATGTGAATCCGATACGATCGCTATTGACAGGTTTCATTGGTCGACTGTCCCTTCCTTCACGAAGAGAGAGAATCTTCTTGTGATAACCACAAGAGAATCAGTCTGACTAACACATTATCCAACACTCTAGGCTGTATAATCACTCGATACCGAGATGAAACTCGTGAACAGTGAACATGAGGAAATCAGGCGGTTTTCAAACCTAGTTGTGCGTGTATCGATCGAATCGTTACCCTCTCTCTGGTGTTAAAGTACAGAAACACTCGGTAGAACTGGACGCTAGTTATATTTCTTGACATGATGGTAACATTTTACTCAGTCGGTAGACAGTTTGTATGGCAGTGTCTATCAGTGAGAAGGGGTTGCGTAAGTAAATCACTTTTTGAGGTAATTTTACTCGAACACCCGATGGCGTGTTAACCTTTAGTGTGAAGTGTTAGGATAGTTGTGTACGTCAAGTGATGTTCACCTAAGATGTTCACTTGTTTTTGATTTTGCCATAGGTATGCTTGTGGAAGTCTGCCGCTTCTCCTCCTAACTTTACAGGGATTCTCGCTTTTTTTCTGGGATTCAATTACGGCTTTTAACGATGTGTTCATATCAGATGAGATGGCATCAAGTTTCTTCAGGACGGGTGACCATTTATTGTTTCGATAAATGTCCTAGTAGTTCCTTGTTAAAAGCAGCCTCAGTATTCTCATCAGCAAGCTCCACTAGTAACTATCTTGCGAATACAGTTTTTGTGAGTTCATTGAGGTGTACATACACGCACATGTGCTCCAGAAGGAGCGCCAGTTTCCCTGGACCTTCTCTAACGTAAATGTCAGTGATATGGTCTATTTATGTCTACGACTGAGTTGAGATCAGTAGGCCTCACGCAGACAATGTCTTCTGGTTATATATTTTTGTTTTTCTAGAAAAAATCGTTCCTCTAGATAAAGTCTACTCTTTGTCTTCTAATATTTTCTTGGTGCAATGAAGCGTGAAGAACATTAAGGTACAGTTTTTGCTTCAGCGTAATTACCGTATCCAAACCGTTAGCTGCTGCCTTGACCTTTGTGGTG